GCTTGTGTGTGAAGATTTAAGGGAGGGCAGGAGCAGGGGGTCCACTACAGGTCCCTCAGTCAGGAGGATAGTATGGATGAAGCCATCTGTAGGCAGACAGGAGCAGCCTCACATTCACAAGCCCTGGTCTTCATGGATTTCAACCACCCTGATATCTGTTGGAGAGACAACACAGCAGGACATGAAAAGTCCCCAAGGTTCCTCGCATGTGTCAACAACAATTACCTGACACAAGCAATTGAGGAGCCGAGAAGGTGCCATGCTGGACCTTGTGTTCACCAAGAGGGAGGAGCTGGTGGGGGATGCAGTGTTCCAAGGCAGCCTTGGCTGCAGTGACCACAAGATTGAGAAGCTTAAGAACCTCAGGGCAGTGAGGAAAGTTCACAGCAAGTCCACTGCCCTGGACTTTGGGAGAGCAGACTTCAGCCTCTTCAAGGATCTGCTCTATCCTTCCATGARATAGAGCCCTGGAAGGCAAAGGGGCCCAAGAATGCTGGCTGAATTTCAAGGATCACCTCTTCCAAGAGCAGGAACTATGCAGCCCAACAAAGAGGAAATCAGGCAAAAATGCTCAGAGGCCTTCATGGATAAATAAGGAGCTGCTGAACAAACCCAGAGCMAAAAAAAAGAAGCTTTCAGAAAGTGAAAAATGGACAGGTGGCCTGGAAAGAAAACAGAGGAATTGTACAGGAACTTAGAACAAGGTTAGGTAAGTCAAGATCTGGTTAGAACTGAGTCTGGACATGGATACTAAGGATAACAGAAAGGGTTTCTATAGGTATGTTGCAAACRAAAGAAAGAATAGAGATAATGTGGGCTCTCTCTGATAGAAAGTGGGAGACCTGACTACCCTGGACAAAGAGAAGTCTGAGGTTCTCAAAGACTTCTGTTCCTCATTCTTCAACAGCATGTACTCCAGCCATGCCACCCAGGTCAAAAAAAGACAAATGCAGGGACTGGGAGAATGAAGACCCTGAGCCCACTGTAAGAGAGGATCAGTTTCAATACCAGCTAAGGAACCTGAATGTGCACAGATCCATGGGACCCGATGAGATTAATCTGTGGGCCCTGAGGAATGGCAGACTAAGCTACTGAGCCACTCTCCATCATATTTGAAAAGTCATGGCAGTCAGCCATGATAACTGAAAATAAGGGAAATCCAACCCTCARTTTTAAAAAGGAGAAAGCAGAAGATCTGGAGAACTGCAGTCCAGTCAGTCTCACCTCTGTGTCGTGCAAGATGATGGAGCACTGCTGAACCCCTGGGCAATGAGGCCACACCAGCCTCAGCACTGTAACTGCTATCTCACCTTCTGAACCGACTTATTCATATCGCTTTAGTGAAGAGCAGTGCTTGAATCATATGCAAGCTATGCTGCTGAGCAAGCAGGGGTAACCTTTGTCCTTTGTTTTCACCTTCATTTCTCTTCTTTCATTAAAAGATGTAGTTTGAGATTGGTTTTTTTTTGTTTGTTTGTTTTGTTTTGTTTTGTTTTTTTTTGGTTTTTCACAAAAGTGCCCAAATGGCATTATTAATTCAGTGGAATCAAATTGTTTAATTCTGTGGAATGAAAGTAGGGACAGTCACATCCCTGAAAGATCATTAAGAGAAGCAATTGTTAATTGGTAGTTTCTCTCTTCTTGTTTCTATAAATGCTAACATTTACTTTTTTTTTTTTTAAATAAAATTACTCAGCAATCACTATAAAGTGTCCTTTTGTATACCATATCATTATGAGGAATCTTCCACGCATAAATAAGGTAGCCCTAGTTTACTCTAGTTTAATCCTCTCTGAGGATGTGAACCTCCATGTCAATTGCTGATAAAGTAAGTGAATCAAGTCTAGTTTGCTCTGAATGACTGTATCTACAGCAGTGATACATGTGYTTTGATACTGATTCACTCCTGTAGYTGCTTTTTTTAAACTTTTCTGAGTATGTTAGACATGGCTTAAATTTAAGGCTTTCAGTATTTTTGCATGAATAATATATCCAAATCAGAGGAAAGTGAATTTCAGTGCCAATCTGGGGACTTGGACTTTGAAAATATTTGAATATATTTAGCCCTGGAAACMGTTCAGGTATATGACTGAATTCTGGTATATCTTATAATTGCTCTCTATAGTACTGTTATGAATTTCATGGCCATAGCAAAGTTTCAGATCTTTTCTGTTCTCATTCCTGTGACTGATTTTATAAAGGCCTTCTTGTCCTCTGTTTTCCATAAAACTGAGCAGAACATAAAAGGCAAAAAAAGTTTATTTCATCAGRTGGGTGATTTGACTCCACATCACAGACCAAAATGCTGTCCTAATTTCTTTTAGATTTTGTACAATGAAGAGTAAGTGTTGGTGCTGCCCCACAATATTTGTAGTCCAAGTGGTAAGGAAAGAGGCTGAAGATGGACACAGATGGGTGAAGAAGGACAAAAGATAATATTGGTCAGTGCACCAGCTAAAATAAAATGAACCRTCTGTGTGTTTTAGAATAGTAGAGCTCTGTGTGTGTGAGAGGGGGTCACTTTCCTCAGGACTGCCACCCCTGAGAACAGACCAAAGAAGCAAAAGGCTTGCAGTCTCGGTTGCACTTTGGTAATGGAAATCCCCTGCTCTTCAACTGGCTGTTTCCTACCGTTGCTGCTGCAAAATCAGATTTGGTCACTGGTATTTCAGCCTATTTTCAAACACAGTGCAGCAGTTGCTGTGGTTGTTAACATTTCATGGTGGTAAAAAGGTGGAGATTTTTCATTAATAAAAGGGAGAGCTTCTTCTCACAGCATCTCCCCATCTGTCCCATGTCCAGACATGACAGTTATACTTTTAAGAATACTGTATTAAAAGAGGAATTTGTAAAAAAATKCAAGTGTAAAAATAATCATATTACCTAACCTATTCCATTAGCTTAAAAATGTATACATGCAGTTAACTACAGTATTAAAGTTCACAAACATAATTGAACAACACCAGTCTGTCAGCATACAATAACTACATATTTTATCTAGATTTTCAATTGCATGTTTGGTTCTGTATAATGGCTACTTTCATGGACTTCACATTTTTGTACAATTACCAGAGTTTTGATTCAAATGCTGAAAACTAAGTTTTTTTWAAATATTTAAAGGATTAAACTGAGGGTCCCCTTGTGTAAAATAACTTTATGCTTAASTGAACAAATATGTGTGGACCTGTTTCCTGTACTCTGTGCTTCACTAACAGAGAGGTACTGATGTAAGTGTATATGTCAGCATTAAAATGGTTGCTCAGTTAGCTGAAAAGACAGTTTCTGCAAACACAGAACATCTCTGGTTTGCATGTATATAGATGTTCCTCATTGTTAAAGACCTTGATAAACAGATAAGGTTCTCATTACCTTAAAGGCCTTAGTCATCCCATGGGCTTTYTTTGCAAGTAGACTTCCAGCATGGTGCTGCTGGAAATATTACTGTTACTGAATGCGTAGTTAAACAGTGWAAAAAAAGTGGACTGCCATATTTAAAATTGAAATGGAGAAATAAAAACAATGAAAACATAGAAGGTGTAGAATAGATGTGATGTAAAATAGCGGAGAGGYGATCAGAAGTTATTATTATAAAGTAACATCTCCACTCACCCTCCGTGTTGACAGTATTGAATTAAAATCAGGAAACTACGTGACATATCAGATGGCAACAATTGTAGTTATTGTTTTTTCCTCTGTGTCTTTTTAACTATATCAATTCTGATGTGAACTTAGGTCATAAAGCAAAACAGCCATAAAGCAAAATGTATGAAAGACATYAATGAACATTCAAGTACTTTTGAAAATTTTCATGGAGTTTAGGGGAATGATTTCATACTAACTTATGAATTTCCAGAAAGACCAACCTAAGGCTGTCAAACAAGAAGGATGTCAATCCAGAAKTAAGAGAATAAGTAGGTCTTTCAGGGAAAATATGTAGATCACTTTGCTGGTGTTACTGAACTCTGTTAATACTGAACTCTGTGTTTAACTTTACCCATCACTTGACTGGTTCACCTTTATGATAGCAGAGATGTGAATCAGCAAAATTAACTAAATGCTGACTTTTTATTGTAAGAAGCTTTTTTGTTGTGTTTAAACAGCCTGGGAATGGAATAACTATTTTTTTCTTGAACCAGGGCCATCTTGAGCAGTGTTCTCAAAATGGATGCTTCAAGGAGTACTGGGTAGACACTGACCCAAGGATTAACATGACAACATAGACTCTCTTCTGTAGACTAAAGCCAGTGAGCTTTGGATGAGTTTGTTTTGTGCTGGGATATACTACTTAATCTGCTGTGGTGGACAAGGGATTTAAACAGCTGGCTTAAATGAAATTATAGAAGAAGGGTCAGAGTCAAGAGTTGTATTTGCCTTTCTTTCATAACATACTAGAAGAGCTAAGACTTGCTTGTGGAGAATGCAAAACAGTAGACTTATTAGGCCTGCTTTTCTAGTATTGCTATTTTATTTAAAGAGTGAAGGTCTGTGCTCTGCCAGCGTCTCACAGGCAGCTACTGTGAGACCACATCACAGAGTTGATGTGTGGTCTTACAGTACATACAAATTATTAACCCCTGGCTTTCAGTACTTAGTTAATGTCATACAAGGTTTGTCTGTCTGGCTGTGGAACTCTAGCAGTACAGAGCTGTCTCTGGAACCAATTTAGCCGGAGAGATCCCAGCTGCAAAGAGAATAAATTGGTCACCGTGCTCCTAGAGTACTCATTGGGTACTCCATGAATGAGGTGCATTGCCTCATCTGCCAGGTAGGTATGTAGCCATTGAAAGCATCTGAGGGTCCTCTACGACAGCTGACAGCCCCAGACTAATGYTTATTTTTCTGAATCTTTGCCATTTTTTTCCCAGCTAGCACTTCATTGGTAGCATTTCAGAATTTATTGGAGTTTGTGCTTTGGGTCACATTCATGCTATGAAGGAGAGCAACAAGAATGTGAAGATGCTTCTATACTGATTTATCTGTGTATTTTTCTTTCTTCACAGCATTTTGTTTGCAGATATTGTGGGATTCACTAGTTTGGCATCACAGTGTACTGCCCAAGAGCTGGTAAAACTGCTGAATGAGCTTTTTGGAAAATTTGATGAATTAGCTACAGTAAGTACAACATTGTTATTTCATTTAATTTGCGTTTCCTTCTGGAAAATGATGCATGAGTTACACATGTTAGAAACCTGTAATAGACTGATTTAGCCCCACATGTCACGAATTTCTAAAACTTCCTATTAATATTTTAGAGAAAAAAAACCTCTTAATTGTTTAGGGAAGAAGTGTAAGTGCTGTTTTAAAGTATACTTTTCTTCCTCCTTCATGCAGTCCATCAGAGTTCTTCATTGGTTTTGTTTGCATAAAATAGAGACAATTTTTTAATATTTACATTGAAAAAAATCAGAATAATGGAAAATACAAATATTGGCAGTTTGGCATAAAATCTGTGAAAATAAGATAGAGAGTAAAATTCATTCTTCACAGAGAGCACTCCTTTACATAGAAATGATGGTAGCTTTTCAGAGGTTACTGTAGGCAAAATAGGACCCATATCATAACTGATGCCTGTGTTTTGGTTGTTGCACTTACATTGTACTAGATTCCCCAAGGAAGAGAAAATGAGAGAAATATTCCTGGCCGATAACTCCAAGCAGTCTAATTTGACAGGAAACATTTGATGGGAAATGAGGGGAATAGCTGTGCCAGAAAAAGTCACGCATCTTGTTTCAAATTAATTTAACAAGATGCTGAAAATGTGTTTTCCCCCTGAACAAAGTGGAGCTTCATCAAATCTATCTTATTTGCCAGCTGTCCTTAAAACCACATTGCACTTCCACATAAATTATGCTTCTTCATTGTCCAGCTATTTTGCCTTCAGACTCTGTGCAGCAGTCTGGGGAACATATTGGTTTAAGCCCTCAACATAAACAGCATCCACATTTTTTCAGTCCAAACTCACTTCTTGATGCAGTCTTTTACATGAGAGATTTAAAGTGTGTGGACATTTTGCATCTTTTTCTCYCTTTTGATRAACAACTCTCAAGGACCCCAAAGAGAAAGAAATCTTCTGCTCCACAAGATGCTAGGGATGAGAAAGATTTAATTAAGTGGGTTTGATCGAGTGCTATACTCTGATTTGCATAGATGTTCAAGTAATAACAGAAAAAAATTGTACGTTCCCTTTTTCCCAAGAAAAGCAGATTAACTTAGATGCTTAGTAGAAATGCAACAGAATTATAGGGGTTTTTGGCATGAATTTGTGTAACCAATACATTACTGGAACTACTGGCAGYGCCTCACAGAGAGCACAGTTCCCTAGCCCACTGTCCTTCATAGATTTATGCCTTAGAAATAAAAATTGACTTCCATTTAGCTAGTCAGTGGTAACAGCTTAAGTGGCTTAAGAAGTTCAGATTGCCTCCTTACTTTGATTTCATTTTGATTTCATTACTGAATTTTATCCTTTGTATGTCAACCGGACTTCTAATAAGCTCTTTTAAAACTTATAATGCTATTATTTGTGGAGTCTTCATAGCTATGAAATACACAGCCGTGTAATAAACATGGAAGTACTGTAACATAACACAAGATCACATGTGCGCAAAGAAATACCTAAGCCTATGATGTGTCCTCGCACTGAAGCCGATGAGCTAGCCTGCCATGCCTGCTCTCTTAGCAGTGGCCACGTGCTGCCAACAGGAGATGTCAGTGACAGCAAAAGGCAGATACTAGGCAGATACCAGCTTTTGGTGCAAGGTCACTTGTTGGTCAATGAAGAAGCAGTTTGGGGACAGCAGAAGAGCAAAAAAGCCTAGTTTTTCTGTTGAACCTGCAAGGATCATTTTTTCAAATTTTAAATAAATCCCATGTTTTCTTTCAGCTATGTGAGGAAGATTTGCTGCTTAGGGGTACTTTCAGTTCAAATTGTGCTTGTCTGAGGTGTGATTAAGGACAGATATACAAGCTTTCCTTAGCASCTTGTATGTGATTGAGGGGGACTTGTAATTGTGTCTCCTGCAGTCAGAGAAATGTGCTGAGAAATGTAGCTTTTCAGAAGCATTCTGATCTATTGGTTAAAGCACTTTCTAGATATCAGCTATTAGGTCAAAACAGAGAACTGAGCTGATTTTAAAACTGCTGTGCTTTAGTATTCAGCATGATTACAGAGGAAACTGCAGAGATTTTGAAGAAAAWTGTAACAGTGTTAGGTATGCTCCCTGTGACTATTAAAGTGCAATCTGTGAGTGTGCATGTTGTGTGCTATTTAATGGCAAACAATGTCAACTGGAAGGTGCATATTTATGACAACCCTTATTAAAACAATTGCTCTGTCTTAAAAATATAATACTTGAAAAGAATCCCCATCACGACTGTGAAAAGTGTAATAAGTATAAGGCAGCATGTATTTGCTGGGAGCCTCATGAGAATCTTGGCGCTTTGGCACATTGACACATTGTAGGAATAGTGAGTCTTTGCTTTTTGACAGTATAGTTCTGCTAAAATTTGTCCTGACATTGGTAAGGCACATAGTTTTGCTCTCTTGGAAATGCTTCATCTTTTTTTTTAAATCACATTAGCTTCAAATATCGCTACAATTCATGATAGGGAGTTCTGAAGGCAAACCTTCAGTTTCAATATATTGTCATTCAATTCCTTTGAAAATGTACTTTAGCATTCTGCTAATAGAGAGGGGGAAAATATCCTGATCTTACTTCCTCCTGTAATTAATTTCCATTTCTATCATGTCCTTTCATGTTTATTCACCTCCAGAGAAAGTATGGTTTTTAAACACTTACCTTGCACACTGTATWTTACCTTGCAAATCACTGAATTTTTGGGAAGACTACTAGGGAAGAGATGGTCAGAACATAGTATTTGAAATCATAGAATCATAAAATACCTTGAGTTGGCAGGGACACATAAAGACCATCAAATCAAAATCCCTGCTCCTTGCAGTACTACTTAAAGCTAAACCATTTGACTAAGAGCATTGTCCAGATTGTCCCTGAAAATGATGGCATGATTTCTGTTTTCTTTTTCACAATAGCACTGTTTGGTTTCTTAAAGAAACAGTCTAAAGTAATCATATTTCACAGAGAATTTTGTGGACTCTTCAATAACTTTAAGTCCTAAGGCCAACTTCAGTCACTTTGAAGAAAGGAATGTGAGTCCCAAAAATATAAACAAAAATGAGTGTCATTATTAGTATTTTTGAAGGAGTGTAACTTCATCCTAGACAGATTATCAGAGAATCAACATGGGAAGGTGCTGTTGTGAATGCCTCGGGGTTCATTTATATGTCTGATTACTGAAATTTTGTAATGTCACTGTCTCTGGGCACCCTGATATAAGCATTTTGGATACATTTGTCCTTGCAAGGGTTCACTTGGGCATAARAATAATAGGCACTGTCCTGAACACAAACTTGGTGAAGTTTCTCATAAGGCCTATGAATTCTTGAACTCAAAAAAAATTATTTCTTTTGGATTTTATCTGCCACTCCGTCTTAGTTTTTTTTTTGCTCTGGGTGTTACTTTGGTGTTTTTTGGTTTCCTTCTGTTAAACAAGAGTAGCCTCGTGCAGTCTGAGATTTGGCCCGGTTGATAGTCATTCTGCATTACATATTATCTATAAATGCTTCAAGCAACTGGTCTTTGAATGAGGGCTTCAGATGCCATGCAAATCAGCCTTTGATACTACAGCTAGCTTTCAGTTTGTCATTCTTCAGCTTACTTGTAAGAGTGGCAAATTTCAATGAGATATAATCATTTGTATTATGCCATCATGGTCAAAGTTCTATTATGTTTTGTTGCAGTTTAGACATGCCCCAAATATTTTATTTGTATTATGTCATCTTAATAGAAAAGAGGAGACAGTTCTACAGCATCCTGCATTTTAATGAAACAGGTTTGATTTTTAGAGAAGTTTCTATTTAATTGCTTTTTTCTTTGGTAATTTTTTTCACACATACTTCCTGCCTCTAATCTACATGGGGGATTGATTATTTTTCTTTGGAAAGTCAGATATTTCCCTTTCAGCATTTGTCTTGTGGCATCTTGGACTTCTAAGACTTTTCATTTCTAAACAGATGAGGGTAAATGAATTTTAGGTGCTTTTCAAAGGACATAATTAGAAAAGGATTTTAATAGTCTGAATAAAAGTTCTTATTTTTTCGTGCCACTTTTGGTGTCTCATCTGTTAGGTAGACACACACCACTTCCCTGTTCTTTCCATTTACAGTTATGCATACCTCCAGGCTTTGTCAATATTTGTAGACTGAGTCTATTTTTATTTCTTTCCATATTAATTTAGTATCATTCCCTGATTGTCTTTTTAGCATTTAACAATTTTTACTTTGCATATTTCAACATTAATGAAGTGGYGACCTCTGCCAGTTCAGGCTCAAAGGTACTGAACTAAAAAATATTGTTTCTGAGCCTTAAGCAAAGAATTAGTAAGTAATATTTTTAACCAACTTGTGTGTTTGTTATCTGTCAAGAACAGTCAGCTCTTTGCTGAGCATTGAACTAGATTTTCCTAGTAGTAATAACTCAAAAAATTGCTTATATTGCATCTATAGAATGTTTTTAGCTTATATTAGGGTAATTATGATGTATTTTTAAAATATAAAATGAACCAAGTTTTGTGGCCCGGTTAAGATGGGAAAATGAGGGGTGGAAAACATAGGTATAAACTTACAGCAAGTAACCCTTCTTTGAGAAAATTAGTGTGCACTGGGGGTGGATATTAATATAGGCTAATTTTAAGGAGACTTGTCTCCTCATTTCCCCTAGAAAGCCAGCACAGACACAGGTTCCCACTGAGGCAGATCACCATATAAGTTTAAATCCAGTTCTGAACAGCCATCTGGAGAGGTCTCCTAGAGAGACCAAAGGAAGTAAACTTTCTTAAATTAAAGTGGTCTTAATTAATATGCCTGTGACTCTATAGGATCAGGGAATGATGATATATGTATGGTGGGAAGCTAAAGTAAGTGTCTGCTGACAGTTTTCTACGCTGAAAGTTAACTTYACACACTAAAAGTGTTGTAGGAACATAAAAATGGGCAAGTACCACAGAGAGTAGGTCTTGCCTATTTTACAGCATGT